AAGGTCAGTTTGGAACATTTTGGTAAGACAAATGGTGGGGAGAAATTGCTGTGAAGATTTTCTCTTCTAGGGAAGAACATTCATGGTTCCGAGAGACAGACATTTATCAGACTATGCTCCAAACCACAGAGAAGGCACAAAAAAAAAAAAAAAAAAATCTGCAGGCAACCATGACCACACCTAACAGCGACTTTGGAATCTTCAAAAGGAAGACAGGACTCCACAAAAATGATTCCACATGAATATGGTAAAGCCATTAAGCTGATGAACACCAAGGAAAGATCAGCTTTGGATTACAAATGGCTCGGGACAATTTTGAGATGACTAGCTGAGATGATCCAGCCTGACAGACTACTTGAACAAGGACTTGAAACAAGCCCTGCACTTTCTCATTATGCAGCGACTGGACAAATGATACAGAACTTGACAATTAACCCAAAAATTTTCTTTTCAGGATTCCTTAAAGATGTCTTCACCCATAGAAAGGGGGAAGTAATTTTAAGAAAATGACGCCCACATTCCCAAGAGGTGGGATGGGAGGTTTTTGGTCGTTTAATGAGTTATGGATATTGTCATTGTTTATGATGGTTGGTTACAAGTTGTCAATTGTTAATGGTCAGGAAAAAAGCTGAACATGGAGATTAGATTCAGAGGTTTTGTTTAAAAAAGAAAGAAAAAAGAGAAAATGTAGCTAGAGTTTTCCTGCCTGGCCCATGGTCAGGGCAAATCTCTCTCACCCGCCAGTCCCACAGCCACTCAGACCCAACCAAGTAAACACAGAGACTTATATTGGTTACAAACTGTATGGCCGTGGCAGGCTTCTTGCTAACTGTTCTTACAGCTTAAATTAATCCATTTCTATTAATCTATACCTTGCCACATGGCTTGGCTCGTGGTTTACCGGCATCTTCACATGTGGCTTGTCATGGTGGTGGCTGGCAGTGTCTCTCTGACTCAGCCTTCCACTTCCCAGCTTTATTCTCCTCCTTGTCCCGCCTACACTTCCTGCCTAGCCAATGGCCAATCAGTGTTTTATTTATTGACTAATCAGCAACACATTTGACATACAGACCATCCCACAGCAAGAAAAGAATATAGATATGAGATAGATCACTGAATCTATTCTGAGAAAAAAGATAAAGAATAATAGGATAAATGGGTAGATCACTGAATCTACACTAAAAAGAAAAAGAGGAAGATATAAAAAATGACAAAAGGTAGATTACTGAATCTATTATGAAAAGAAAAAATACTTTTAAAAAGGAATTATTTGTTTTAAATAAGATAAGTAATGAAATTTTTTGTATGAATTTGTCAAATGTTACTGGACTGGACGTTGTTATATATTAATGGAGTTTTTTGTCTGAATCTGTCAAATGTTAACGGACTAGACATCGTTAATGTAATCTTGACTGTGTATATTGTATATACTTATTGGACATAATTTTTCTTGTATTAGTTATAAGTTTTTTTAAATTTTAGACAAAAAAGGGGAAATATGGTGGTATTTTGTTGTACCCTAATAAACTTATCTGGGGTCAGAGACAGAGCAGCAACTAGATACAAAGGCTAGAAAATGGTGGCACTCACACCTTTAATCCTAGCACTCCAAAGGTAGAAATCCCTCTGGATCTCTGTGAGTTCAAGGCCACATTGGAAATGGCCAGGCATGGTGACACACACCTTTAATCCCAGAAAGCAGCCTTTAATCCCAGGGAGCGGTGGTAGAAAGCAGAAAGGTATATAAGGTGTGAGGACCAGAAACTAGAAGCATTTGGCTGGTTAAGCTTTTAGGCTTTCGAGCAGCAGTTCAGCTGAGAGCCACTGGGATGAGGACACAGAGGCCTCCAGTCTGGAGAAATAAGACCAGCTGAGAAGTTGGCGAGGTGAGGTGGGCTGTGGTTTGTTTTGTCTCTCTGATCTTCCAGAATTCACCCCAATAACTGGCCACAGGTTTGATTTTATTAATAAGACTCTTTAAGATTCCTGCTATAGTTAAGGGCATACATAACCTACCAGTTTTGGATTGGACCTGAGTCCTGTTTTATAGGTGGGAATTCATGCCTGGTACTGTAAACTAGGCCCAAAGCTTGGGCTTGGGAAGTCAAGGCCCTAGGGAGGAAGTTAATAGTGTTGTCTTAAATGAACATGTTCTCAAACTGATTTCTAAATATTTATGTCTATCATATAAAACAGTACTTTTTAAATACGTGGGGATTACCATGTACTGTTTTTTTGTTTTGTTTTTTTTAGAGGCAGGGTTTCTCTGTGTAACCTTGGCTGTTCTGGGGACTCATTCTGTAGACCAGGCTGGCCTCAAACTCACAGAGATCCACCTGCCTCTGCCTCCCGAGTGCTGGGATCAAAGGCATGTGCCACCACTGCCCAGCATGTACTGTGTTTTTCCTTCAGAGGCACTGGGTAGTGACTTTTCCACAAGAGCAACATTAACTTCAGATTTTTCAGGAAGCCCACAATCTTTGTTGTTTCTTTTTCTATGGGGCTCTCTCGCTCTGTGTATACTTTTGTCTTATCAACATATTCTCACTCCTGTCCTCAGGAGGAAGTCCTGGACATACAGATAGTCTATCAAGTGTTTTTATTGCTGGGTCTGGATATACATTCTACAGATGAGAAGGTGGATGATCAGTTTTCTTGATTTCATTGCCAAACATTCTGTTGTTTTTATTTAGGATTACTTGTCTTCAAAATGGCTTAATCCTTCAGAGTCATGAGGTATAATCAGAGCAAAAATAGAAATAAATTAGTGTTGAACAGTTAAATATCTCTGCATATGCTTTGCTATTCACATGAGGCTCTCATTTAGAAGTCAGAATAATTTATATTAGCATGGAAAAGGGGCAAGACACAAACCAACAAACATAACTTAGTGGAATTAGAATAAAAACACCTAAGTATATGTTAAGTTTGCAAGACAAAATGAATTAGATGATTTTTAACATGGAAAAGCATTTCTTGCATTAAAAGATTTTACCCCACTCTATCTGAAATGTTGAAATCTGATTTAAAACACTTAAGACAATTAGAATTGCAAGGCAGAAGTACAATAGTTTATTTTTATCAAACGTTTCTATGCTGTAGGTTTTTTTTTAACCTAAAATTAAAAACAAATCTTTTTAACTCTTTATTGGAAATTTGAGATAAATGTCAAATTTGGTTTTAAAGATGAAAATAAAACAAAAAATATCTTAAATATTCACTGGCATTTTTAAGATTGATTTTTAAAAATGATTGAGTATGTGTAAGTGAGTACATGTGTCTATGGAGGCCTGAGGTGTTGCATTCTCTGAACCTGGAATTCCAGGCAGGTATGAGTCACCTGCCATGAGTGCTGGAAACAGAACTTGGGTCCTCTTCTACAAGAGCAGTATGGGCTCTGACCCTCTGAGTCATCACTCCAGCTCTTCATTAGAGGCTTTAAACAACCTGCATACATTCCAATGTTTCCTTCTTCAGTCATCAGGGATTGAGGATAACATACCTGCCAACAGATAGATCATTCACTCTGTCTTACCTAAGATATCATTGGTTCAGATGGTGTTTCTGATTTCTTTTCTTAGTACTTGAGATCTCCCTGTTATGCCCAGATCATGGGGACCCCCAAAAAGACTACCACGGAGACCGAATCCCGCATGTAAAAGCAAAGAGCCTTTATTTCAAGCTCCAGAGCTGGGTCCCTCTGTCTGTCAGACACAGTGGTGAGAGCAGAGAGCCCTAAGCTCAGGTGGGGCAGAGTTTTTATCATAAGCAGAGGTTGGGGTGAGGGGATTTCCAGGGTCCAGGACCCTGACTGGCTGACAATTATCTAGGGGTATCTGTAAAACAAAAAATAGGTGTGTACTAGACTCAAGGACATCTGGCCACCTTATCTAATGGTTGGAATGTTTGGGATTTCAGGTACTTCCTCACCCCTGGGTAGATCCCTGGGTGGTATCAGCTTAAGGCTTTTCCTGGATCTGGGTGTTGCCTGCCAGTAAGCCTGTCACAGAAGCTGTGTCTAGGCCCCTAAGCCTGTCATGGCTGCTGTGTGGTCAAGCTATTTTGGGGCCCCTTCACACCTGCTAAGTCCTCCCTTGACCAAAAGTTACTGAATTTGATTATATATGGTTAGGGATTTATTGCTGTGATGAGACATCATAGTCATGGCAATTTTATGAAGGAAAACATTTCATTGGGGCTGGCTGAGAGGCTCAGAGGTTTGGTCCATTATTGTCATGGCAGGAAGCATGGCAGCACTCAGGCAGACATGGTACTGCAGAGGTAGCTGAGATTTCTACATCTGGAACAGCAGGCAACAGGAAGAGAAAGAGACACTGGGCCTGGTTTGAGCTTCTTAAACCTCAAAGCCCACCCCCAGTGACACACTTACTCCAAGCCACTCCTCCTATGAGCCTCTGGGGTCCATTTTCATTCAAACAACCACACATACAATAGCTAATGTTAATTTGAAATCCAAATTGAATTAGGCTTAAAAGAAAGAACATTTGGGTTTGATTTCTAACCATATTGAAGTCACAGTGGGTAATGGTTTCATTAGGTGTAATTATATCTAATCTGCCCCTTTTCTTGCTGCAGGCCACAGGAAAATGTAATGAAATTCAGCTACTACCACAAAAGCTACTACTTGGAAAAGTCAAGGACTTCTCCAAAGGTCCAGCCATGACTTAAGAAGTCTTAGTGATATTTTAGCTTTTGTGTATATATTAGCTGATTCCTGCAGTGATTTTCTTGTAATGCTATGCATGCTTCCAAGTACTCTTAACAGTGTATTTATCTAAAATACTTATCAAGCATCCAAGGCCAAACAATCTCCTGAACTATGAAAACAATGCCTATCTCCTAGGTCAGGCGGATAGCTTTATTTCTTGTGCAATTTAAGCTGAGACCCTCCTTTCTTTCTTTTTTTTTTAAGATAAAAACACAAACTTTTTTTAAAAAGATTTATTTATTTATTATGTATACAGCATGTATGACAGCAGTCCAGAAGAGGGCACCAGATCTCATTACAGATGGTTGTGAGCCACCATGTGGTTGCTGGGAATTGAATTCAGGACCTCTGGAAGAGCAGTCAGTGCTTTTAACCTCTGAGCCATCTCTCCAGCCCAAGACCCTTCTTTCTTATACAGCCTTACTAATATTATAGACTCCTAACTTCTTACCTAACCACTTCTAGGAATGTAGATTGAGCACATAAATTCCCTTTTTGATATACTAACCCATATTAGCTCTCAGTTGACCTCATCCTTTAACCACTCCCTTTTGGGTTGTAAAAGAAATCCTGGCTGGAGAGGTGGCTCGGTGGTTAAGAGCACTGGCTGCTCTTCCAGAGGTCCTGAGTTCAATTCCCAGCAACCACATGGTGGCTCACAAGCATCCATAATGAGATCTGATGCCCTCTTCTGGTATGCAGGCAGAACACTATATACATAATAAATAAATAAATCTAAAAGAAAGAAATCCTGACAGTCACTGCCTGAGGAAAACTCTTACCTGCCTTTATGACCGTGTAGGAATTCAAGCCTGGTGACCTTGCTCTGCCAGAGGATTGCTATTGCTTGGGATTATAACTGAATACCTCAGAGATTTGGACAGAACTGAGAGATATAAGGAGACTGAGAGGATTTTGACTAGAGAACTTGAGAATGAGATGGAAGATGAGAAAGAGATGGGTAAGAACGAGATAAGAAGGACCTAGATGAGGTGGAATTAAGATGAGAGAATTAAGATAAGACTTAGAGGGGACAGTAGATAAATATAGTGAGAAATCAGGCAAGAAAGGAGCTAGGCATGAGAACAGAACTGAAGCTGTGTAGACAGAATTTTATCCCAGAGGAATAAAGTAGTCGGATTAAGAGCTTGGTGTACTTCGATTCTTTTCCTGAAAATAATTCTCACTGTTCCATAGTTTCTCTTTTAGGCACCTGGGATTTCCAACCTTGCCGAGAAGGGGTGGGATGGGGTGGGGCAGCTAGCCTGGACCGAAAGCTGTTTTCCCAGGCGGTCTCCCATCCAAGTACTAACCAGGCCCGACCCTGCTTAGCTTCCGAGATCAGACGAGATCGGGCGCGTTCAGGGTGGTATGGCCGTAGACGACGGGGCCCGGCGCCGGGAGCCTCAAGAGCCTGGCCGCTGCGCTCAGCTCCTCGGCTCGCCTGCTTGCCGCACACTCCGAGCCCAGCTCCCCCACCCACCGCCCCTGAGCCCGGCTCGAGCCACACCCCTCCGCACCGGGACAGCCAACTCGGCCCTCCTCAGCCCTCCGCCCTCTGCCCGCGTCCCTGGCCCCTGGCCCCTGGCCCCTGGCCCGTGGCCCGCAGCAGGGGCCCAGGGCCGGCAGTGGCCAGCGTTTTCTCCCCGGACCTTCTCCTCTCCCGTTCCTCATCGGCCGGCCGGCCGGCCGCACTCACCGGGCCCTCCCGGGCCCCTGGCAGGTTGGCTGGCCCGCAAGCCTGCTCCTCCCTCTCCCCGGGCCTCGGGCGGGCGGCTCCGGTGTGCACGCGCCCGCACCTCCCGCTCCCCCGGTCGGGTTTCCACGGCTGCGGGCTCTGACGCCTCGGGACCTTGCTTCCGGGGCAGGGTCTGCCTTGGGTCCCCGACTCGCCCGCCCCAGCCGGGGATCTTGCCAGGTAGCCAGCCCCTGGCCTTTGGGGCGGGTTAGAGCCCTCCTCTGACCCGCCGGCCACTTCCGTGCCCGTGGGGGTCCTGGTGGGGAGGTGGAGGTCGGAGGGTGGGGAGGTGGCCTCCGGGGGTGGGGGTGAGGGTGGGAGGAGGGGTTCGTGGCCCTGCCCGGGCTGCTGCGCTCTGATGCTTTCTTTCCTGGCTTCCTGGGGAGGGGAGATGCCCAGGTAGGCGCAGGCAAGGCGGCGGGATCGTGATCGTGCGGGTCATCCATCCGCCGAGACGGGGTGGACACCCTCCTGACGCTGCTCCCCCGAGGTAGGTGTGGTGCCTGGACGGATGGGGTGGTCGCCCCGACTGTCTGTCATCTCTCACCCTTGGGGAACTGCTGGCATCTTGTCCTCCTCCTCTCCCTAGGACATCCCACTCCTCCCAGAGAATCCAGGAAGACGGGACGGCTGGGATCGGGCTAGAGAGAGCTTGTGGATGGGTGGGTGGGTGGGTGGGCGGCCAGGATGGACCTTGGTTCTCTCTCTGGAACTTGGAACGCCAGCTCCTGGGCTCCGGGTTCTGTCCCCACCCCCACCGCGCCCCCGCCCCACCCCCACCGCCTGCCGTCCATCCATTCATTGCAGAGGCCGCCTCGGTGTGAAGCGGTGGGGGCGGTGACAGGTTCCGGGCCAGAATTCTTTGGGCTATCCTTAGTGCCACCCGGCCACCGGGCCACGCACCCACCCAACCTTCTCGCGGCTGGACCGGACCGGACTGTGTGCCGTGGGACGGATGGCCTCTCAAAGCACAGCACCACGGACCCCTCCGCTCTGGGGGACCGGCTTCCGCCTTAGAGAATTCCGCCGCCGCCGCCGGCTTAGTGGGACAGCGCCTGAGCCCTGACTTCCCCTTGCCCTGGGACCCCGAGGTTCCAGGTCGGGCCCATCTTGGACCTGGGTGCTAGGCCACCATCTCACTGACTCCATCCCTGTGCCTAGGCCTTCCGCCCTCAGGTTGAGCTCATGGAAGCAACCAGTTGTTGATATCTGGCAAACGCTGGTGTGGTCAAGGGAACATCTCAGACCAAACCTGAAGCATAGTAGACTTGTACTGTTTGCCCAGATGTCATTTTATGAATTTGTTGTGATGTCTATGCTGTATTTGTATTCCTAGTACTCTACTTTGCCTCTATTTTTAGTGTAGTTACAGGTTTGTGCCCTCTGAGAATTAAACATCTCATAGATGATTATGGTAATATAGTAGTGTAATAGTAGTTTTGTTATTTTGGTTTTTAAATCTGGTGTATTTTTTACATGATTTAAAAGGCTAATGCGTACAAATCAATAGTTATGTTTTGCTGCTCTACACGTAAAAATATGTTTTCATTAGAATTATGGAAACATGATAGAGATCGAAAATTACAGAATATCATTTTCTTGATTTTGAAGCTAAATTCACAGTAATTTAATTTCAAGTGTTAGACAATTTAATGTTTAAATGCAATCCCCACTAGGTATGGTAACTTTCTCATACCTCTAATCTTAGTAGGTATACCTAAGAAGGATGGAATGCTGTAGTGGCAGAGTTGATGTGAGTTTTTGACCATCCTGGGCTATAGAGTAAGTATCTCAAACAAACAGGAAGCATTCCCACGTAACCACAAAGGAAAAAGATACAAAATATACAGTTAAACACAATAGAAAAATCACAGTACAGGTTGTGAGGGGGAAGCTATCAGTTATATAGTAAGAAAACAAATGGGATCCAGTGATTTATGTCTCCGTGCTGTTAAGGGAACTGGCTGCAATCCCCAGCAACCATGCAGCAGCTCACCTCCATCTCTAACTATCTAGTTCCAGGTGATCCAGTAACTTTTTCTGACTTACACAGGCATCGGGCACATAAGTGGTACAGAGACATACATTCAGGCAAATATTCATATACACAAAATAAATTAAAATAAAAAATGCAAATGCAAAAGCGAGTTCTTCCTACTCAGTTATAAACAGATGACTGGCAGAATGGGTGGCGTCTCACAAGCAGACTGTCCACTGCCCACAAGAGAACCGCTTTAGGGGTTGTAGAGATGGCTCAGTGAGCAGAGAGGGACTTGCCCTCATACCTGATAGCCTGCACTGGATACCAAGGACCCACATGATGGAAGAAGAGAACTGACTCTGAAAAACTGCCCTCTGACTTCCTCATGCACACTATTGCACTTGTATACCCGCTCTAACCACAAGACAATACGAACTCAAATTTTAAAAAATCACTCTAGATTCAGAGACATTAATAATTTAAGGTGAAAAAAATAAAAAAAGATACCCACAAAAACAGTGACCAAAAGAGAGCTGAATAGATATCCTGGCATTATAAAAACATATACTTTAGAGCAGAGATGATCACTTGAGACAAAGAAGGACATCAAACATAAATGAAGTACTTGATCTGAAAGGATTAGCAGTCAGTTCTGCATTTGTTGCTGGAGACTTCCATGACTTCCTTTTCCTTGTTCCTGTCTTTATTTTTTTTTCTCTTGTATGTATATCTATGCACCACATACGTGCAATGTCCCAGGCAACCAGAACAGGGCATCGGACCCCCTAGGATTGGATTTACAGACAGTTGTGCACTGGTATGTGGGTGCTGACTAGGTCCCCTGGAAGAGCAGTCAGTGCTCTTTTTTTTTAATTACTTATTTTATTTTATGTGTGTGGGTGTTTTGCCTGCATGTATGTGCAGCATGTACATTAGTGCCTATAGAATCCAGAAGAAGGCATTAGATCCCTGAGTTACAGTTGTGAGCTGACCTGTGGGTGCTGGGAATCAAACCAGGGTCCTGTGGTAGAGCAACCGGTGCTCTTAATCCCTGAATCATCTCTCCAGCCCCATCTTCTTCTCTAAAGATTTTTATTTTATTTTGTGTGCATTGGAGTTGTCCTGCATGTATCTCTGTTTGAAGGTGTCAGATCCTCTGAAACTGGAGTTACACAGTTGTGAGCTGCTATGTGGGTGCTGGGAATTGAACTTGGGTCCTCTGGAAGAGCAGTCAGTGCTCTTAACCACTGAACCATTCTCCAGCCCCCAGTCAGTGCTCTTAACCACTGAGCCAGCTCTCTAGCTTAGTTTGTCTTATTATTGTATATTTGTTTGTGACAAGATCTCATTAGTTAGCCCTCAAGCTGTCAATCCTCTTGCCTTAGCCTCCCAAGTACTGGAATCACAGGCATGAACCACCATCCCTGCCTGTTCAATGTTCTTTTTTTTTCCTTTCTTTTTCATTCATTCATTCTTTCTTTCTTTTCTTCCTTCCTTCCTTTCTTTCTTTTCTTTCTTTCTTTCTTGAGACAAGGCTTCTCTGTAGCACTGACTGTCCTGGAACTCAACTCTGTAAACCAGGCTGGCCTCGAACTCACAGAGATCCTCCTGCCTCTGCCTCCCAAGTGCTGGAATTAAAGGTGAGCACCACCACTACCACCTGGCCAGTGCCCTTACTGCTGCATGCCACAGGATTATACAGTGAGATCTCAGCTGTTATTTAAAAGGTCAACCCATCAGAAACATGGATATTCTGATGGAGTGAGCAAGGCATATTGGAATTACTGCCTTTTGAATGAATTGGCTGTTTCTTGCTGTAGATTTCTTGTGTGAAGCCATAAGCTCCTTCCCACCATTACAACTTTGGGGTTTATTCCCATAGCCTTAGCAGTGTATTAATCATTTATTGGGCACACACATATCCATGGATGGTCAGGAAAGATGACTTCTCATTAGCTGTACAATTTTGATATATAGAAAATATACTAGGATGTAGCAGGAATCTTAAAGAATCTTATTAATAAAAACAAACCTGAAGCCAGGTATTGGGGTGAATGCTGGAAGATCAGAGAAGTAGAGCAAGCCACAGCTAACCTCACCTGGCCAACTTCTCAGCTGATCTTGTTTCCTCAGACTGGAAGCCTCTGTGTCCTCATATCCGAATGGCTCTCAGCTGAACTGTGCTGCTCAAAACCTAAAAGCTTATCCAGCCAAATGCTTCTAGTTTCTGGTCTTCACGCCTTATATATCTTTCTGCTTTCTGCCATCACTCCCTGGGATTAAAGGCTCACTTTCTGGGATTAAAGGCATGTGTCACCATGCTTGTCGTATCCTTATGGCCTTGAACTCACAGAGATACAGACAAATTTCTGCCTCTGGAATGCTAGGATTAAAGGCATGTGCTACCACTGCCTAACCTCTATGTTTAATATTGTGGCTGTTCTGTCTCTGACCCCAGATAAGTTTATTAGAGTGCACAATATTTTGGGGAACACAATACCACCACACTAGGACATGCTTCATAGCCAGATCTATTGTCCCACGAGACTGCAGACACTTAAAGCCTGCCTTGTGCCTTTTACTCAGACTAACAAAAATAACAATCTCTCCTCAGTCTAACACAAACTGCACACGTTTGGCTCATTTTTACCAGTCTGGCCAGTCTTATTCCTGGAAACTTGGAACCTTGTGTTGCCATGGTTAATGGCTCTGCTCCTTATCGCTTATGCTAGGAATGTGATTTTGACCAATGAGAGGTAACTCTTGTAATTTTTTTTATTATTGCTTCAAGCCTCCTAAGAAGAAATGTATTTAGGCAAATGAAGAAGCTAGGAAAAATTAGGAACTAGAATAGGAACAGAGAATTAGAGCTAAGAAATTATAGACCATTAGGATAAGAGAATTAGAAGTAAGACAACAATAAGGAGACATGTGTGAGCGGATTCTTTCCTTTGCCCTCAGATCTTTAGGTTTCCTATGTTTGCTGTCATGTCTTTTCTGGACCCTGATACCCTAAGTAATGATTGAGAAGTGACAGAGATGGTGAACCACAGAAGAAACCAGCTAAACTTTATATATATATATATACACGCATATCAAGTAACCAAAACTGTTCTACCGTAAGTTTCAAGAACACTTTTCAAAACAAAAAAAGTATGGTGGGTTGTTTTTTGGGGTGTGTGTGTGGGGGGTAGTCCTGGCTGTCCTGGAACTTGCTCTATAGACCAGGTTGGTCTCAAATTTAGCCATCTGCCTGCCTCTGCCTCCTGAGTGCTGGAATTAAAGGTGTATATCATCATGCCTGGCTTTGGGTTGCTATGTTTTTTGTTTCTTTGCTTTTAGATTTATTCTTTTTGTGTGTGTGTGAGTGTTTTCTCTGCATGTATGTATATAAACCACTTACATGCCTGGTGCTCATAGGGGTCAGAAGAGAGCATCAGATCCCCTGGAACTGGACTTATAAAGGGATGCTGGGAACCAAACTCAAGTCCTCCTGAAGAACAAAAAATGTGCTTAATCACTGAGCCATCTGTTTAGTCTTCAAGAACCCCTTCTGAACAAATACATTTTTCTTAAGTGTATATGGGTCATAAATCTTTATATTTATTTGCTTTTGATCTAGGGACTGAATCTAGGGTCTTGTGATGCTAGGGACATGCTTTTCTTTCTTTCCCCCCTCCCCCGAATTTTTTTTAGTCTGCTCCAGGCACATGCTTTTCAACTGAGCTACATCCCCATTTGTTTTTTTTGTTTGTTTGTTTGTTTTTTTTTTTTGTTTTTTGTTTTTTTGGTTTTTCGAGACAGGGTTTCTCTGTGTAGCTTTGCGCCTTTCCTGGAACTCACTTTGGAGACCAGGCTGGCCTCGAACTCACAGAGATTCGCCTGGCTCTGCCTCCCGAGTGCTGGGATTAAAGGCGTGCGCCACCACCGCCCGGCTACATCCCCATTTGTAAGTATGAATTTTGTGTACTTATTTAGTGGATGGTCTAGAACTAGCTATGTAGACCATTATACCGTCTCTACCACAATATGGTAGTATTAATAGGTGGGGACTTTAGGAGGTGATTAAGGCTGTAGAAGGCATAATCATCTCCTCCCACCACTCAAGGACACAGTACTCCTTCCAGCAGGAGAAGGCAGCAAGGTCTCTTAGAAACTACAAAGAAACTTAGAGACCTTCACCAGACACCAAAATTTCAGCCCCTTGAACCATGATAAATAAATTTGTGTTGTGTATAATTTTCTTAGTCTCATGTTTTGTTTCAGCTGGGTGAATGAACCAAGACACCCTTGGTGGCTGTTTCTGGGTTTGTTGTTGTTGTTTTATTGGTTATATTTATTTCTTTGTTTGTTTGCTTATTTATTTATTTTGGGAGACAGTGTTTTGCTATATAGACAAGATTGATCTTAAACTTGAAATCGTCCCAACTCAGCCTCATGAGTACTGGGACTACAGGTATGTGCCACTATCCCTGGCAAGACACGCTTAAGTAACAAATAGATTCATACATACCATAAATCATGAGGCAGATGATGGAGGACCATGAGTTCAAGGCCAACTTGGGATAAAGAAAAGGAAAACCCGACTAATCACATACCTTCCCATCTCCTGCAAAGAATTTAGTATCAAAGAATCATAAGAACATAATAAAATGCTTAGAGATGTGCCAAATGTACTACTACAATCCAAAATTTATGGGACACAGTAAAAGCAGAAATTTGTGTCCCAAAGTGTTTCTATTAAAAAAAAAAAAAGAACAGGAAAGATTTGAAATTCACAAGTTAACTTTACAACCTAAGGAACCAGAAAAAAGCATAAATTGAACTGAAAGCTAGCAGGAGGGAGGGGTAAGAAATATTAGAGCAGGAATAATAAAATAGAGAACCTCCAAGGAACTGGAGCCTTATTAATGAAAAGAAACAGCTAACCCTTTAGCCAGTTTGGTTAAGACGAGACAGAAGCCTCAGAGTGCTGCCATCAGACATGAAAGTCTGGCGACTCCACAGGAATAGGGGTTGGGTCAACTGAGAGTGACTGAACATCCACACACCGAAGAACCTGAGGGAACTGCACACCCAACCTCTGCCAAGCACAGTGAAATAGAAACTATTTAGACTCATAATTGGCCAAGTCATCAAAGCAATAATCAAAGGCTTCCCTGCACAGAGTCATAAATTTCTTCATAAAAATAAGTTTCCAAATAGCTCCACAGGTATTGAGCAGCTAGCTCAGAGAAAACAAGCCTATTGAAGGGTTATCAGTCTGATGGACAAAAAATTGTCAGTTATGAGTCAGACAGTCCAGGAGGGGGCAGCATTACCCCATGTGTCATTTATCCATCCAGCAACATAAGCAAGAGCTTGAGCATATGATAGGTGTCTGGTGAATGATCGCTGCTGCTGTGTAGGAGCTTGTTTAATCTCTAGGAAACTCCCGAACCCCTTGCTCCAAAGCTCTTATGATTTGCAGCCTCACTGGACGAATGAGGAAGCCAATCTCTCTGAACTGAGCTCAGAATGGTCAACAGCTCCAGCCTCCTGACTGTCCAGACTAAGAGCATAAAGTCTTTGCCATAAGTCTGAATACTCTGTATATTTAAACAGGCTCTCACTTACTCCAGGCTGACTTCAGACTCATTATGTGGCTGAAGATGACCTTGAACTTCTGATTCTCTTGTCTCCACCTCCCAATGTGCCATGATTATAGAGTGTACCACCATGGCTGCCTAACGTTGTGCTGGGGATCAAACCCAAATCTAGGGCTTGTTAGATCAGCACTGTGCCAGCTGAGCTACATTTCCAGCCCTGATCTGCTGTGGAATAATCTTTTTGTGCACAATAAAGATGTGTCATTCTGATTTATTTAATAAAAAGTCAAATGGCCAATAGCTAGGCAGGATTTTCAGGCACACAGGATGCTGGGAAGAATGGAGTGGGGGGCTCACTAGCCAGACAAAGAGGAAGCAGCATGAGCAGTACAGTGTAAAGGTAATAAAGCCATGAGACAAAAAGTAGATTGATAAAAATGGGTTAATCTAAGTTGTAAAAGCTGGTTAGTAATAAGCCTAAGCTATCAACCAAGTTTTCATAATTAGTAAGAAGTCTCCATGTGGTTATTTGGAAACTGGCTGGTAGGACAGAAAAAGAATAACTACACTGATCTTTACACTATATGTTGTTGTCACTGTCCCCATTGTACAGGTTAGAAAATCAAGGTTTGGAGAGATGAAGGTATGCTTAGCAAGGGGCAGGACTAGGTGAATCCCTACCTCCAGGTCCAATTTTCACTGACCCTGACCTCTGCTTATGGGGTCAATCATGGTGGTAGACCAAAACATGTGGGTCATTGTTCCCTAGGAAATTTCTAGAATTGCAGATTTGGGATATCTGCCCTGGACCTCAGGCACCATTAATTCTGTGGATAGTGCCAGCTATCTGGGTTGGTAAAGTCATCAGGTGATTCCAGGTGTGGAAACATTGGGAAGTCTGTAGCTGGAGAGTTTTCTCTCCGGGTCCCACCAAGCCCAGGCAGTCTGACAGCCCACTTATAAAATAAACACACAGATGCTTATATTATTTAAACTGTTTGGCCTAATGGCTCAGGCTTCTAGTTATCTAGTTCTTACAACTTAAATTAATCCATTTCTGTAAATCTATACCTTGCCACGTGGCTCATGGCTTACCAGCATCTTCACATGCTGCTTGTCATGGCGGCTGGCAGTGTCTCCCTCCGCCTTCCTGTTCTCTCAATTCTCCTCTCCGTTAGTCCCGCCTATACTTCCTGCCTGGCCACTGGCTAATCAGTGTTTTATTTATTGACCAATCAGAGAAATACATTTGACATACAGACTATCCCAAAGCAGAAGTCAGTGTGAGTGTTCTCAAGAGCCTCACGCTCCCCTGCAGCCCCCAATCCACACAGATAAACACAGAGCTCATGGGATTAGCCTGTTCACTGATAGAAGGATGCTCACAAGTACACACACTAATCTGCTATTTGAGATGCCTGTGTCTATAGGGAATGGAAGAAGTCCTGAGGGAATGTGTATTTTGACATGGCTATTTAATTTCAGGACTTAAAGGTGTGAGAAAGGAAGGTCAGGAATTCAAAGTCATCCTTGACAACATAGAATGTTTGAGGCCAGTCTGGGCAACAGGAGATCCTGTCTCAAAAATCAAAAATCGAAAGAAATGGCTAGGTCAATGTGGTAGTTTGAGTGAGAATGTCCCCTGTAGACTTATATATTTGAATTCTTAGTCCCCAGTTGGTAGAACTGTTTGGGAAGGATTAGGAGGTGTGACCTTGTTGGAGGAGGTGGTATCACTGGAGGCAAGTTTTGAGGTTTCAAAAGTCCACACTTTTCCCAGTTAGCTCTCTCTGCATCCTACTTGTGGATCAGGATGTAAGCTCTCAGCTACTGCTCCAGTACCATGCCTCCCAGCCTGCTACCATTCCCTGCAACATGATGGTCAAGGACTCTAACCCTCTGAAACTGTAAGCAAGTCCTCAACAAACTCTTTCTTCTGTAAGTTGCCTTGGTTGTTGTGTCTTATCACTGGAATAGAAAAGTGATTAAGACAGTCAGTAATGGCATTTGTTGTATATCTGTGAGGCAGTTTCCACTCACCCTGAATGTGATTGGCATCATCCCACAGGCTGGAGTCTCAGACTAAGTAAAGGTCGGGGGAAGACAGCAAGTTCAATGCATAGAAGCTTGCTTGGCCTGACAACCTGAGTTCAGTCCTTGGGACCTGAAACAGAAGAGAAATAACTCTACAAGTCATTTGAACTAAAAAATGCACCATGGGACCTACATGAATGTACACACATGTGTAAGTAAATAAATGTAATTAAAAGTTTTAAAATATAAATTAAAAGGTGGGGAATGAACTGAGAGTCTGTGCCCACCCCCTTTCCCTTTCTTCTGATATACCCAGAGTAAGCAAGCAGTCGCCCACCACCATGCCTTTCCTATTACAGCCGCCCACATTATCAAGCCATGAGCCCAAATAAGTCCTCCTCCTAACAACCCTTCTTGTCAGGTATTCAGTCACAGTAGTGAGGAAAGTAACTAACACAGCCCACTGTGAGCAAACTCTTATCCAATGACATTTCTTCCTGTTGTCTGGTATCTCCGGGACCCTTTACTTTTTATAAAGTAATTTTTCCTTCATTGTGTTGCATCATCAAACACAATAATGGTTTTTAACTTGCCAAAGCCCCTGTGTTCTTCTGGGAGGAACCTGAAACTTTCTTGAGCTAGGATTTTTATTGTTATTATTAAGAGATTTTCTGTTCATTTTACATACCAACCATAGATTCCCCTGTCCTCCCTCCTCCCACCCCCCCAACCTTCCCCCTCAACCCACCCCCCATTCCCACCTCCTCCAAGGCAAGGTCTACCATGGGGAGTCAGCAGAGCCTGGTACATTCAGTTGAGGCAGGTCCAAGTCCCTCCTCCCTGCACCAAGGCTGTGCAAAGGGTCTCACCATAGGCACTAGGCTCCAAAAAGCCGGCTCATGCACTAGGGACAGGTCCCAGTCCCACTGCCTGGGGGCCCCGTAAACAGTTCAAGCTAAACAACTGTCTTGTTTATCCAGAGGGCCTAGTCCAGTACCATGGGGGCTCCTCAGCTATTGGTCCACAGTTCATGTGTTTCCACTAGTTTGGCTAGTTGTCTCTGTACTTTTTCCAGTCATGGCCTTGATATCTCTTGCTCATGGAATCCCTCCTCTCTCTCATCGACTGGACTCCTGGACCTCCACCTGGGACATGGCCATGGATCTCTGCATCTGCTTCCATCAGTCACTGGATGAGGGTTCTATGATGATAGTTAGGGTATTCAGCCATCCGATCACCAGAGTAGGCCAGCTCAAGCACCCTCTCGACTATTGCCAGTAGTCTATGGTGGAGTCTTCCTTGTGGATTCCTGGGAACCTCCCTAGCACTCTGCTTCTCCCTATTCCCATGGTGGCTTCATTTATCATGGTATCTCTTTGCTTGCTCTCCCACTCTGTTCCTGTTCCAGCTCGAACCTCCCGCTCCTCTAAGCTCTCATCCCTTGCCCTCCATTACCACCACCCCACACACCCCCAGTTTGCTCATGTAGATCTCATCCATTTCTCCATCGCTGGGTGATCCATGCACCCTTCCTAGAGTTTGAGCTGGGATTTTTAAAGCACTCTTAACAGACTTCTATCCAGTTTAGGAAAGGCCTTGGCTGCTCTGCAGAAGCCT